CCCCCCCCCGAGCACCACCTTCGCTGCAGCGACTTTCCCAATTCTGGTGCCTGACGTGGCACGCACGCATCGATAGATCTTTTCGACACTCGCATCATGACATTTTGAATTATACTCGGGCTCATTCAGGCCCGCATGTCCACGCATCGCAGCTCAATCTCCCACCGACTTCCGGTCGTGCAAGACAGAACTTGATCGCTGTTCACCTCGACTTGGCGATACCGAGAATCTTGGGCTGTACGAGCATTCGATTGAGGTTTGCCCGCGAGGTTTTGTAGTCGGAGAGCAGAGCAGAGAAGAGCAAATGCTCTCTTTTCTTCGGTTCTTCACTGCTCTTGAGGTTGCAAGCGCGAGCATGACAATCAAAAGGCTTCACTTGACGTACGCCTTGCCTTTTTGCCCTCCCCCCCCCCCCCCCCCCCACTTCCCGGCACCAAAGCAAAGCGACGCGTATCATTCAATCCACATCGTTTGCGCCAGCTCCCTTTTTCGTAGGGCTCTTTGACTCTGCTTCATCATCACCCTCACCGTTCGACTCGCTCCGAGCTGGTCTCTTGGTCCCCTTGACGCTCTCATCTGCAGAATGCGTCGCGGCGCTGAAGGTCTCCTTATCCGAAGAAGAGGCAGCAGGTCCACTGGAAGTCGAGCTTTCCCAAGAGCGGTGGCTGCTCCTAGAAAGACTGTCCGCGCTCGACTTGCTCGACTCCGAACGGCTCAAAGTTTCGAGAGGAGGAGTTGCGCGTGCCAGGGACAGGGACTTTTGCCAAGCAAGTCTGCTACGCTCCAATTCCGCCTTGACCTTTTCTCGAGCCTCTTCATTCATCCGACCAACATTCCTCCAAAGCCTTTCTCGCGCTTCGCGTCCAGTCAAGCGTTTTGGACTTTTCGAAGCGCCCGAGGCTCCTCGAAGGCTGGGAAGCACCGTTGCGGCTGTCGCTTTACTGCGAAGTGTGACGGGTCTCTGAGGCCCATCAGCGTGAGGGTCACGTGAAGGTTTGCATGGTGAGAAGGGGGGGCAGCTTGATAAAGGGGAGCGGAGGGGGGGGCCAAAAATGATTTCGCGGGGGAGGTTGATGATGGGTGGGGTGGTGGCGGGGATCTGTTCCAAACACTCACTTGATTCGTCCTTTGCCGTGTGCTCGATGCGTCGCTGGCCGCGTTGTCCAAGGTTTGCGTGGGCCAGTGCTGCTTCAATATCGGAACGACTTCGTGACCCTTGATCTCGTTGTGTTGAGCATCGTAGGCAGTGCCTCTGAGAGTGGGAATGCGCCTGCCCGTACGACCACTGTCCGCAAAGGTATCGTGCACCTTTTTTGCATCCACAACGAAGGGTTGCGGTTACCATATCGAGATGATTTGTCAAATGAAACCGAGAAGTTGCTTCGATGATACGCGTGGTGGGAGGAAGCAGCGTCGACTCACCTTGTAGTGCTTCACCTTGTCGTGCCACTGCAAGTGATCATGAATGGCCGTCTTCATGACCTTTTGCTCTAGAGGCATACTCTCTGGATCGCCATACTCTATCCTGCTGTCAAAGTGTATTTCGGCCTTTTTATTGTGCTGCCAGGGAATGACGGTGGCACCGTCGTACTTTTTGCCCGAAGCGTGCTTTCCTTGTCCCAGAATGACCGAGGGCCCATCAGGTCGAGGTCTGTGCCACGATTTGATGACCTGGGGCAAAGAGATTGAAAGCAGTCACCTCAGCGTACGTGCCAAAAGCCCCCCCACATTTGCACGTCTAGCTACGAAGCGACGGACAGACTGGGCCCCAACCCACTCTTGCCTCACATGGTAAGACTGGATGTACTTGTCTTGTCCAGGCCTTTGCCGAGCCCGATTGATTTGCTCCCTGATGATCGTCTTTTGTGCAGCAATAGTGTGCTTCATGTGCTCGGGTACGTGGTCAAAAGCATCCTTTGCAAAAGTGATCTCATCGTCGGCCAAAGGACGATACTGATTGATCGTGAGGACCGGTTTGAGCTGCACTCGGCGCAGAAGCATCGAGACGTCCTTGTGATGCCTTGATATACCTGCGAGAGCTGCATTCTGCTCCAGAGACGGGAGCATCAAAGCTGACTGAGCCAAGGCGAGAGCGAGAGCAGTCTACGCTCTGCAGCGACGACGTACCTGAGCGCTTACTTCCCTTCCCATCTTTGAAAAGGACGGTCCTTGGGTAGTCTTGGCCATAGCAGAGCCTACGTAGAGTGCGAAGAGCACCGCGCGGATCGATAATGACTTCATATCTACAAGACCTCCCCCCGTCAAGCGTCGGAGCGGAGCTGCAATGCTGGCCCAACGATCCACCCACTGAATGGCATGCGTTTTCCGGTGTTCATTCAAAAATCTCCTACTATTCACCAAAGCGAAGAGAGCGCGGTGAAAGCTTTTGATGCTTCAGCAGCTTCCACCTTCTTCAGGAAAGCTGTTGCCGAGATTGGAAGGGGGCAAAGGACGAGGGGCAGAAAGAAAGATGCTTGCGGATGAAAGTGTCTCTCCTCCCTCTTCGAGATGTCAATCTCGTCCGGGGTGTGTTGTTGGGCAATGTGCTGCGACGATCGCGACGGGAGGGTGGGGGAGATGTTATATACGAAATGTGCTCACGAAATGAGCGCCACCGGCCTCCAATGAATTGGATCGAAGCACTGCGACCACAAACAGAAGCGCCCCTCGCCACTCGACAATTCTTGATATCCATCATGCGCCCCCGCTCCTGTTGTATGCCCTCGAGCCCGTACGGTACTTTGGACGGTTGCTTGGTGCTCCCACACCGTTGGCCAGCGTGCAGCAAGCCTTCTGGGGGGGGGGGGGAAGGGGGCAGGCTATACTGCCTGGCGGTGGCGATTGAAATGTCCAGAGCGAGGCCTGATGGCCGAGGCGCGTGCGTCCTTCCAAATCGCCACCGTGCATGGGCTACGTAGAGCGCCATGGCAGAGTGGCGAACAAGCAGAATGCCACGCGGCTCGCCGATCCCGCACAAGAAGATAAGCATGGGCGCGATGAAGATGCGCATGCTGGGCAGAATCAGGACACACGCCGCTTCGCTTCCCTTCGCACGCGTGACAATCCACAACCAGTGCTTCTTTTCCCCCGCCCCTCCCAATCGGACTCGTCAAGAGTAGTCTGGTGATGCGCAGTGCGAGAAAGAAGATGAGCTGGGGTGGGGTGACCAGTCACCCATGCAGGGATGGGTCAGATGCTCTTGGCGTCGCGAAAAGCCGTAGGCGGGACGGGACAGCTGGACTTTGAGCATCGAAACAACTCATAAGCCTCGCCCTCGCGAGCGGCAACGCCTGCCCTCCAGGGCGCAGTCGACCAGGCAGCGCCCCTCAAAAGCACTAAAGGTGGCGGTCTCATTGCGGCGGACGCGAATCTGCTGCTTCACCATCTGTCCCTTTCTCGCACACCGAGCTCACTGATCGTCGTCCAAGCCAAGGAGGGCGAGGTCCCATGTCGAAGTTTGTCTCACACCTAGACATGACATTGTCAAGTGTTTTCGATTAGTCAAAAATCTTGGAAAGCCGCTCTAAAAGACCAATCTGAATGCAAAAGAAGACGGTTCGTCGACGGATGACCGCCATTACCATTTTTGTCTAGTGGTGCACACCTCGAGCCTCGAGCTGCGACAACGTGAACAGCATGATCAGTACGGTGCTCCTCCGTCCGGAAGTTCGCTGGTGCCTGCTCACCTCCGCCGCCTTGCGTTCCGCAGCTGCCAGTCTAGCCTCGAGCTCTTGCAACTCATTAGTCTGCGATTGCACCGCGCTAGCTCTGGAGCGGACGTAGCATGCGGGCCGCGTTAATCTCTAATTGTGCACCCGACATGAAAGCTCTAGATCGCACTCACTTCGTCTTGACGCGCTCCTCCATCTCCGCCAGAGCTCGCGTTCCTGCATCGTTCACCACGTCCCCGAAGCTGAAATCGTCCCCACCTCCCAAGCTTGGAAGGCTTTGCGGACGAGGTGCGTCAGCAAGGAGTACAGCGAGCACAGCTGCGTGTAAGCGCTCACCTTGGACCTCCTGCAGCGGCGGCGCCTGGTCCCTGCACAATGTCTGCTTCCGTGCTCGTTGGCGCGTAGCCGCCAGCGACCGCTACCTCTCCCTCGGGTCGAAGGAAGCATTCTTGCGCGCCCGCTGTGGCTGGGTCAAAAGTATACGCTCGTACTTCTGCGTTCTTCCATTGCTGCAGCGATCAAATCGAGGGGAAGAAGACTCAGCACAATTGAACCCCGCTCAGAAGGCGTGCAGGTGATTCGTCACGCACGTAGGTGCTAGGTCCTCCAGAAGCAGTGGCTGTGATCTGTCTGATGATGTCTCCATGTCCTACAAGCAGAATCGTCTTTTCCGGACGAGATCGGATAAATTGTCTGACCCACTGAGCTCGCAGCGCGATCGATTGGGGGTCGGGCGCTATGAGGCCGACGCTATCAGCATCAGTGCTATCCGATGCTGCAACCGCAATGCAACTGCTCACCCCAGAAGCCCTGTTTGCTGGTCCAGTCGGGCGTCAGGTTGGAGAGGTCAAAGCCACTGAACTCTGGGTCGCGCTCGAGCACCTCGCGCGGAGATCCAGTGTCGCAGGGAAAGTCGTTGCATTCTGCCAGATTCAATTCAGTGAGATCGTCAGCTGTCGAATCAGCCTGCACAAGTCCCGCAGCTTGGATGCCCCGACACTTCTTGAGTCGTGGTCGATGCAACGTCTGCACGCGATCAGCTCTGAGCTCACCTTGCAGTTGGGGCAGAACGATGACCTTCTTCAAACCACCTAGACGCTCGATGGCGGGACCCCAGCCTAGCTTGGTGCTCTGCAAAGTCCTCTTGAGCCCACTGGAGAGAACGACGTCTACCTGGCTTTGCTCTGCAGCTGTGAAAGAAGGAAGCGTGGCGGACTGCTTCTTTCCCAGACTGGTCAAGGGTGCGTCAGGAATGCTGTAGTCCAGGTCAACCTGTGACGACGATGATCGTGTTGCGTGCAAAGCCAAAGTCAGCATGCAGTTGCTGTTGAGCAGCAGCAGCACCACCACCACCACCACCACCACAGCCTAGCACGTCGGAAGCAGTCCAAGTCTTCACTCACATTGTGCTCGGCTTGAGAATGTCGACAGATCAAGATGCGAGAGTTTGGTGCCATCTTCTTGATCTATGCTCTAGAGGCTTGACACGAGACGTGAGATTGGTCTAAACTTGTCAGGTATTTAGGGGGGCGTGGTGGAGTGAGCTGCGCCACTTTGACTTGCAATACTGAATGTCTGCCACAAGTAGGAGGATGATGATGATTGGAGAAGGCCGTCGTCTAGCTTCGTGATACACGCCCACGATTAGAGTCACGAGTCACAGTCGCGAGTGAATGTATAGCAACGTTCTCATCGATGTTGCATACATGCTGTACACCCTCCCACACGCGCGCGGCGTTACGTTGGGATCTCGCCCCCCAAACTCCGCGCGAGCTTGAGCAGCATCGTGCCTGCTGTGCCCCGTCCATCAGCGTACGTCCTGCGAGCTAGCCGGCCAACTTGGCGATGCTGGCGCGAAGCGTCCGTGCGCGCGCTGCTTAGGTTCTAGGATTCTCGTGCTTTTTACTGCACGAGGCATGGGTCGTCGAGAATATTCCGCTGCAGATGAACGAGGGCATGTGTATTATCAAAGAGAGCCTTTTTATGGAGCTCTCGCTCTTGGCCGAATAGTGATTTTGCAACTCGACTTGACTTCTCAGCATCTGCATCCACACACCACGTGCCAAGGCGGCGTGACGGAGCAAGAGCATCAGTCACGAGTGAAGACGGCCGCAAATCCCAGTAATTAATTACGGCGCACGCCATCGAGAAGAAAGGAGATGCCGCGCGCATACAACGCATCAAAGATGTTTCGGACAAAGCTTATGGGTCAAGCGTGTGCTGAAGATGAGCATCAAGAAGACCAAGCTCCTGGAACGAGCCAGGAGCACCTGCAAGACGCTGGATGAAAGATGTCTCGCTCCTTTCGGTCTGTCTCGCGATTTGGGAAGAGGACTGCAGTGCAGCAATGGCGAAATCGGGTTTTCCGATTGAAGCATGCATGCGGCAAGGGAAGTTCAGCTTCTTGTCACATCCATCCAGGAACAAGTGCGGGAGCGAGCGAAAAGTGTCCTGCGCTCGCTCATCTTGATGCATTTCTCAAGTCAGTCGCCGTTTGTTGCGAGGCGGCCAACGCATGGGCGGCAAATGGGAGGAGATGAGCGCAAGTCTCTTGAGATCATCAATGAAGCGCAAAGCTGCGGCCGCGCAATGGCGCTGCAACGCAAGTAGGCGAGACCTACCTGCTGGCCATTGACTGCTTGGCAAACGCCTTCACTGCTTTAGGCCTTCAAATGACTCAAGCAAAGTTGCTGTGGCGGCGACGAACGCCAGGGTCATTTGCTATGCTGTCGTTGAACGCAGAGCCCGCACCGAGCTTGCCCGCAGGCGGATGCGCAGATACCGGGCTATCCCGTGACTTGTCCCTGACAAAACTAGGCGATGACCGGCCATGCGGCACTGTCACCCACCAAAACAAGTTGTGTATGCAGCGAACGGGGTGGCGAGAGGACAGTGATGAATAGGTCGGCCACCGGCTTGAAGAGAATTCACCATCCACTTGGTTCGCAGAGCCCATGGGTCCAATGAGGAGGAGGGACAAACAGCTTACTCAAAGGCTAGCTGCCCAAGCTCGATCGCGAACCCCGTGACCGTGCCTCGTTGCCACTCATTGTCAATCTGGGTGCTTGCCCTTGCGCCTTGCGGCCCTGGTGCATCATTCGAGTGGCGGCAAGCTCACGCCATCTCAGTGTCTGCGCCTAATCCGGTCAAATCTCGGCAGTCAGTCAGCGCAAGGCCCACGCGAGCTGTTGGTGGCCAATGTAAGTGAAGCGCTTCATAAGGCGAGCCCATCTTGCGCAAAGGAGATGCGCCGCCTCCCGCTGCTCCATGACGCTCCTTCTTGTCACTGCGTGGTTCACGATAATCATCCTTCTCCCCTCCGAACGAAGCTGGTCTTCGCTCGCTGAAAGACTATTTTTCGACTTTTCACAGCTGGTCTGTTGACATTCTGTACTCATTTCGTCATTCTTCACTAGAAGTCTCTCTCGCTTTCCCGCGGACGGGCATCGGGCGGGAGGATGAGGCCCGCTGTGCTGGTCTCGCTCCTGCTGCTGCTTGTGCACGCCTCGGCTGCGCCAGTGCCTTACATCGAGCTGGGCGACCGGATCACCAAAAGAGAAAAGTTAGTGGATCACCCAAAGAGTTCAGCAACGTTCTCGAAGCGTGCCGCTCACCTCCTACTCCATCCTTACAGTCGTGCTGTACATACTGCGTCCGAGGAGCCTGAGAATGAGGCGCAGCAGCAGAATCCTTCCTCGTCGAGTTTCCAAAGGCCATCCGGAAATGCTGCGAGCACGACTCGATACGAGCAGCAGCGGTCGCACTCTGTTGACGTGGAGCTTGTCAAGCGATACGTGTATCCCAGCAATGATCCAGTTACGCTACACAGCAAACCATGGCCAAAGCGTCACGCCTTTCAAGTGGTCGCGCCGCCGCGCAAAAAGAAAGATGGCCTGAACGCGGGTCAAATTGCTGGAGTAGCTGCAGGGTAAGTGTAAATGGAGGAGCATGCTGCCACAGCTTTCGCTTACCCTTGGGTCCTCTTTGCTCAAACGTTGCAGCTCTCTCGCTGGCGCCGGTCTACTGGGCGGAGCTACGGCTCACGTACTCGGTAAAAAGGTCTCCGGACTGAGTTTCGCTCTGAACAAATTCACAAAGCGTCCACGGGTTGGACCTCTGTTCAAGCAAAAGATAGAGACGACGCCCACTTTCACGCCCATCTCTCGCGTGTTGCCTCGTGACATACAGCAGATGCATGCTGTCTTGACTCGCAGAGATCTCGCGTCCCAACAACTTCTGCACACGGTCAATCAAACCGACAAGAAGGGTCAGAAGAAGCAAAATGGTCTCTCGGATAGGATCACTTCGACGCTGCAAAAAGTGGTGCTGCCGGCTTTGTGAGTCCTAAATGTGTGGCACGGCCAGGTTCACCGCCACTGACCACTGTCCTTGCGGTCAGAGCGACTCTGGGTGCAATGCTCGCTACGGAAGCAATCATCAACGGAGTTCAGACGAAGCAGGAAGAGTCGGCCTTGAAGAAGGCAGGTGTGCACGAATTCACTCATGTCCGCGCCAAACGCGGTATCGAGGATGAGCTATCTCCAGACACGGACACGGTGGTCAGTCGACGAACTGAACACGACGAGTCTCTCGATGCGGGACGATTCGTGCCGATGCCAAGCAACAAAAAGAAGAAGAAGAAAGGTTCACTGACGACTAAACAAAAGTGGCTCTTGTAAGTTTGCACGCACATCACCCAACCTTTTCCGCTGTTCTCACTTCTGACAGCGCTTCGCGCGACCAGGGGAGCCGGGGGAGCAACGGCAAGCGTCGGTTTAGCCGGCTTTGTCTATGGCCTCAAGAAGCTGGCTGACCAATTGAAGCAGACCAAAGGTTTGACTGCTGTGCGACGTCGAGAAGAGGCATCCATGCCAGGGATGGTCAAGTCCCGTGACCTCGATGCTAGGGACACATCAGGGGAGACGGCCTTCACCGTTCCAGTCTCGCGCGATCGGGACTCACAGATTGCCGCAATAGAGGAGCTGCGCAAACGGGACGCACTTGATGGCAGCTTCGACGTACAAATTTTGGAAGCTCGCAAGGGCAGGATCAAGTTCAAGCCGCCGAAAAAGAAGAAGAGGAAAGATCAAGCTGCTACGGGAGCAGACCCACCAAGCAGCTCCTCACACCGTCACAAGGTCCGAAACGCTGCTTTGGTGTGAGTGCGGGCGTGCGTTCACGCATACTTTCTACCTCAGCGCTGATGCCATCTTGCACTTTGTCCAGCTCGCTTGGAGCAGCGACTGGTGTAAGTGTGTTGACAGGAGCAATCGGCTTCCGCCGCAGTCTCTCGTCGCTCGCTTCACATTTGTTCACCAATCCCTTTCGATACGTCAAGATTTCCAAGCGGGCCGAGAGCGCTTTGCGCGATGCTTGGGACGAAACAACGTTGCGCAAACGTTCACCGATGCATTTCAGACACAAACGACCCGATGATGACGACTCGGCCTACAATAATCGCGTCAACGGCAACAACGCTGCACCAGCTCCTAACAGCACTTCGCGCCACAAGACGGCACGCAATGCTGCTCTCATGTAAGTGCTGCTCGACATCGCCTCGAGGACTTTGAATTCGCTGCTGACAGGAAATTTGGACTTCGATTTGGTACAGTTCCCTTGGCGTGGGAGCGGGCGCTGGCGTGCTGGGCGGAGCGTTTGGGTACCGCCACAGCCTCCTTGGAATGTTCTCCAGGCCGTTTTCGAACTCAATGCGCTACGCAAAGATCGCTAGGCGAGACTTTGAGAGCACTGCCCCAACCAGTGCGGAGGAGGGGTTAATCGTTCTAGAAAGACGCAAAGGGGGTGGTGGAGGTGGTCACGGTGGTGGAGGTGGGGGCCACAGCGGAGGTGGAGCGGCCTCGGGAAGAGGGGGTCCGATCACAGCAGTGCCTGGTGGTGGGGCCTTTGCAGGTGGCAACGCGGCGCGCAGCGGCTCTAGCGGCGCACACTCGTCAGGCAAAAAGTCAAAGGGTATTAGTGGTGCAGCCCTGGGCGGTATTCTGTGAGTCAATGCCTGCGTTCAGGGACTCTATCGATCTTGCAACCCATCTGATCTCCTCTGCTTTTTCCCTGCGGGCGCTGGCACCTGCAGTGGAGGCCTCGGAGGCCTCGCCGTGCTGTTTGGTGGGGTGTATTATGGTGGCAGAAAATTGCGAACCGCACTCATGAAATTTGGAGGCGCAGGAACGAGGAGGTCTGGTAGCAACTCTCCGAGGCATCATTTCGATCCTGAACGGGCTTCTCGGGCCCCTCATCACTTCAAACGATCTGAAGAGCACATTTCTTTAGACCACGAAGCATCTAAAATTTCTCGTGCTGAAGATTCAGCCAATGAGACCACTGCCATCCTCGAGCGTCGCAAAGGCGGAGGTGGCGGTGGCGGTGGCGGTGGGCATGGCGGTGGTGGTGGCGGGGGTTTCCGAGGTGGTGGCGGCGGGGGGTTTCGAGGTGGTGGAAGCGCTACTGCGGTCGGTGGAGGAAGCTTCTCGCGCGGCCGCGCTCCCCCTTCCAGCGGCAAGGGCAAGGACTGGAGTTGGGGAGCCACAGCAGGTCTTCTGTGAGTTGGGTCACGCGAAGCTTGTGCGGACGTATCCCAATCGCTTACGCAACCTTCTAATCGTTCATGCTCAGCGGAGGACTGGGAGGTGCTGCCGGACTCGCTGCGTTAGCAGCAAAGTGGCGATCGGGCGGCCTGAAGGGCATCGGTCGATTCTTTTCTGCACCATTCAAGAACAAAAGCAAACCCAGAGGTGTTACTCTTTCAGGCGCAGAAGGGCGTGGTACAGACTTCAAGCCGCTTCCTGCCCCTTATGCACCAGCCATCTTCAAAAGGTCATCAGCCAATCTCTCGATCCCAGAACGAGGGGAGACGCCCATCCGAAGCTTGACTACAGACACAGATAGCTCGAAGCTCGATCGTCGCAACTTAGCCTTGTAAGCACGGCGACGGTGTACCTAAGAATATGAACTTTCTTTCTGACGCTTGCGACCCTTTTGGTGCTGCTTTTTTTTGAAGCAACCTTCGCGCATCGCCAGCGGAGGCACACGACGAGCGCAACAGCTTGCAAGAGCGAATCAGTGCAGCCAAACCCTCCATCGAGCGAAGAAACTTCTTCGATCACGATGACGCTCAAAGTGATGGCGGGCCTTCGTCAGGTCCGGCAACGCGACGACTGCAGCGCCGGGATCTCCAGACAAAGACGGACCATCTAGAGGTTCGTCAGTCCACACCTGCTGAAAAATCTCGTAAGAAAGGAGGTTGGGATTCCATCTCTGGTAATGCCAAAGCAGGCATTGGCTTCGTACTTGGGCTTGGCGCTGGTGCTGCTGGAGCTCTAGGCATTAGAGCTGGCCTTGCAAGGCTGGCCAAGACTGCTCGTCGGGCGACCCCTGTGCGCATAGAGGCTTCTCCCTCGAGGGGACAAACGCCTCTCCTGCCACACGTGCCTGAACCTCGTCGACAACCGAGCGTCTCTCGGCAGCTTTACAATTTCGAGAACGCCTATGCTGGTGAGGTCACTCCGGCCGGAGTGCGTGCCATCGAGCGCTATCGTGGAATTGAACGTGGCATACTGATGTCTGGGAGGTCCCGAAGAGAGCCTCGCCGGTCGCCTGACCGCGGACCCGGTAGCGTCGAGTTGACCAATCTCAGGGCAGCACGACCAGCATCGCGTCTTCCTAGACCCAGTGCGCCTCAAGAATTTGCACTTCGCCCGTCCGGTGGACAAGGGCGCGGTGCGGAGTTGCATCCCTCGAGTCCGGCTCCATCGAGCTCGGACTCCAATGTTTCCATTCCACCCATGCCGGCACATTTCGACGGACCACGACGTCGAGATCTCATGGCTCCGGCTACATCTAATTTAGTGAGGCGATCGGCGTTGAAGCAGCCTTTGGCAGCACGAGACTTATCTTCCGGCGAAGAGTTTGGACTGGGCCTAGGTGTCGGCGTGGCTGGCGGAGCGACAGGATATCACTTTGCGCGAAAGGCCATCAGTGGGAACCATCAGCAGGTCACAAGTCCTTCGGACGCGTCGGAGCACATCACTCCATTCTCCGACCGTCGCCGAGAAAGTATGGAGCATCTAGAACCCAATACCGGGACAGCAGCTGGTGCTGAGAATATCCACAGTCCAGCGATGCTCTCGAATTCGCCAAGTAGGTTGCCAGCGATTCTTGAGGACACCTCTCCTGAACGCTTAGTCGCACGACAAGGTAATTCCGGCTCTTCGAGTCGGGCACGAAGGCCCACCTCGGACTCGCCATCGACTGTTCGCGACGGTGGTCATCGAGCATTGACACCAGAACACACCCTTAGCCATCCGGCTAGAGAGTCAAATTCCCTCGACGAGCTGAATGCAGCGCGTTCTTCGAGACCTGCATCCAGATTCCCGACGTCGGGATCTCAAAGAGCCCCTCATCTGGGCGAGCAACGACGCGGTGCTGAAGAACACACAATGCAACACACTACTGACGCCACTCGCGGATTCCAAAGAATGGCAGGATCAGGTCCTCCTAGACGCGGTCTTGGTTATAGAGAGGGCCTGTCGGACGGAATCAACCTGGCTTGGGGTTATCAACCCGCTTACTACGCGCACGCCGGCTCTCTTCGAGATTCTGACATGCTCGGAGACATTCCTGGCGGTCTGCCGTCAACATACCTTCGAGGACTGCGTCACGGTCGAGGGCAAGCGCCACCCCGCCGGACTTCTTTGCTTCATCCGGAGCAGCATGGAGCATCTGCGTCTCGAACAGACTCAGATCGCTGGCGTGGAAGGCAGTCTGGTATGGTAGACCACTCTCCTGAGAGCCCTTCCAGCCCAAGTAGCACATCATCCGCAGACTCGAGCACGCCGTTGGAACGAGAGCTCTCGAGGGCATCGAGCATCGTTGAGGGTGCAGCGCTACGCTTCGATCATCCTCGCCGTCGCGCATTGTCGTCTTTCGCTACGACCCTAATTAGGCGAGGGTATCCCAGCAGGTCCATTACCGAGCTTTCTCCAAAGCTACATGGATCCTTTACTTCATTGGAGAAGCGCCTCTCGTATCCTGGCGAAAGTAAGGAAGATGAGAAAAAACAAAGAGAGCTCATGTCATTGGCATTTGCATCTATGGGTGCGTTGGTGGCAGGAGGACTGCTTGGGCACTATGCAGGAAATCGACACGAGCAGATCATGGCGGCTTTGCGCAGAATGAAGGAAAGCTGCGTCAATTGCCTTGGTGGTGGTACTAGGAACGCTGAGAGGCTTGCCATCAACGCCGGTCCTGATCATGCTTCTTCTGGCCCTGATGCTTTGTCGCACAGCCCTGTCGAGCGCTCCACGAGCTTCGACGCTCTCTCAAGATCGGGCCAGTCCAACGACGTCCCATCGCACGCGCTCAGCACCCCCGAGTACCGCACTCTCAGCAGGAGCACATCGCAAGGCGGTGCCCAATTGGCAGCACCGAGCCGGTCCATGACCCACAGCGCCTCGTTTGCCGGACTGCGTGATGGACATCATCCACCAGCTCGCAATGAGCAGCATAGCTTCGCGGCGCCTGAAATCGAGTTGGCTTCTCCAGAATCACCGCCACAGCTCGTGCGGAACCACAAGTTGCGTGGTGACGCTGGCCCCTCCACTTCGAGCCAAGCGCACGAAACGACTCGAAGCTCTTCGCTCGGAATCGCGCCCGATCACCTGCATCGTCGCCAGGGAGATGCAGCCTTTGGAAGCGCACGGCGGTACATCGAGTCAGACATTTTGGCTGCGACAGGCGCTTCTCGCTCTAGCACGCCCGCAGCACGCGAAGCCCAGTCCCTCGCCACTCGAGATGCGAATGGAGACGATTTCGCACATCCATCGAACGACTACCACCTCACGTCAAAGGAGCTAGGCAAAGGCCTCGCTGGTGTCGGCGGCGCTATTGGTGTGGCAGCGGTGGGAGCTGGCAGCTTCTTCCTCGCGAAGTGGCTAAGGAACAGGTTCTCCAGGACAGCTTCCGCGAAAGTGCATCACGTTCTGCCACAGGGAGGAGATGCTTCCCCGCGCCTAAATGATCCGCATCGCCGCGATGTTCAGCTCACGACTGCGCTCAGCAGCCCAAGGTCAGGCAACGAGAGTCGGAAGGATCAGACTGTTCTCTTGCCAAAGAGGAACCGTCAGCTAGACTCGACAATTAAACGCAGGCAGACGCCTGATTTGCGCGCAGACCGTCCTGTGCCGACCGCCGCTGAAAAGCAAGCTGCGCATAAGTCCGCGGCGGAGCGAGCTCGCAAACATGCTATGGTGTATGGCGGTCTGGTTTTTGGCACAGCTGGAACTATTGCGACACTCATCCTGGGCAAAAAGTTGCACGCTCAATGGGGAACTTGGAGCCGTGCTGCCAAAGCTCGCACGACCATGAGAGCGAAAATGTCCGCCACGTCTTCTGTGCGGTCCCAGTCAAATTCTAGCCCCGCCGCTGACGAACGCGGCGACAGTGTACGCCGCTCGATCGATGGGTCGTCCACACCCAGGCTCAGCAAGAGAAATTCGGCACCCGCATCGGGCAACGCGCCCAGATTCGGCACTTATGAAGTCGGTGCACACAATCTCTCAAAGGGCCCGCTACCAGATGCTGCACATCGAAGACAGGCTCAAGACCAAAAAGTCTTCGAGAAGGATGCCTTCAAGAAAGCTGCTATCTTAACGACCGCTATCTCTGGTGCTGTAGGAGGTGCCTTTGGACTCTATCACGGAATCAAGCGTCTTCCTGCAGGTGTCAAGACTCTGCGCGCCAAATTGAGGCGCTGGAAGGGCACGGCCGAAGTGACACCTATTGCACACGTTCTAGAGATGGTGCGTCACCCTCTAGCGGGACCACGAGTGCATCTCCCTCGTCGAAATTTAGACGAGATTGCAGAAAGGGCTGGAAGCGTCCGTTACAAGAACCTACTTGTGCGCCGCGAGGATGCGGACTACCAGAAGCAACGTTTGCAGCCTCCCACCAGTGAGGAGCCCGCCAGGAAGAAGCATTTTGGCGATGATAAGCTCGATTACGCGCTAGTCTCGGTCGGAGCCGCCGCCGCCACGATTTTTGGTGGCTACGGCCTCACCAAGCTTTATCGAGGCGCTCAGCGTTGGACGCGAGCAGCTGTACGGCAGAAGAATCGGATGAGCGCCGATGTGATGCCTGTGGAGCACCCGCCGCCCGGTGCGCTGTTTGCCCCGCAGGCAGGACAGCGCAATCAAATTCCGCGGCTGTTGGTCACGCTGCCTGAGAGGACGGCACCGCCTCGCCCACACTCGGCCTTGCCTCTCCAGCGTCGATCTACTGTTTCGAGTAGCGGCTCCACTGCAGATCTTCCATCAGGCAAAAAGACGTCATTTGGTCTTCGAAAGCCCGCCGTCGATCTCGAAAAGGATGTTCGATTACTGCGTCGCGGCGATCAGACCGCGCCAACCGGCTCAGGCACAGCTCACGACAGGTCACTTGAAAAGCCAGATTCGCTTCTCAACGTAGCCGAGCAGCATCCTGCTGCTTTCTGGAGCACGACCGCAGTGGGTGGGGTGGGCGCCGGTGTTTTGATTGGGATGGGTTCTCTCAAAGCAGCAAAAGGCATAGACGCGCTCCGAGAAGCCGCACCAGGGCTCGTGGAGCGGCTTCGACGTCAGCGGAGACGCATGACGACGAGCGTGATGCCCATCGAGCGTCCGCCGTCCAATGCATATTTCCAGCCGCACCATGTGCCAGGATCGCGCGAAGCCAACGTGCGGATGGTGCCTCTGGCACCTGAGGCGCTGATGCCGCCGCGCTCGCTTCCCTCTTCCTCCATACAGCGCCAAGCCGCTGCTCCTAATTCTGCGCTCCATCGACGGCAGCAGTCCGACGTCGCACCCACGACACAGCCTCAGCAAGGCGAAGAAGCTGGCTCGAAAGCCAATGCCGACGCAGAAATAGTAGCGGCTGAGGCGCGACACCACGATCGAGAAGTTGAGCGACACAATCACATGATAGACACGATCAACAATGTCAGTCGCACTGCCGTTTATCCTCTGGGTGCAGCAACGGCAGCTCTCGCGCTTTATCTCGGCTTCACCGGACAAAGAGGTAGAGCCCTATGGTCTCGAATCTGCGCTTGGAAAGCTCGCCGTTGCCCAACAGTCACGCCTGTGATGCCAATTTCTCCCCACGAAGCAGAGAGGCAGATGCGAACTCGTCGATGGGGTTTACCTCGATTTGTTCATGATCGTACGCGCCAAGCCATTGCAAACATACTGCCACCGCTTCGCGAGCAGCACGCGTTCAGAGTCGAGGCCGGGGCCCAACCTGTGCTGAACCATCTTCCGCGCGAGCCCATTACACGTGCACGTCGCCCAGAACAAGTGCCGCAAGCAAACGATCGACACGTCGCGATAGCAAAAAGAAGTGTGCTGGCGAAAGGGTCAAATGGTTCAGATGCACGTTGGAGCGCACCACCAGACGCAGCCCAACGTCGAATCGATGGTCATAGTGCAAGGACATTCTTTGTAACGCGCCGAGACGCAGCCGGAGCGCAAGCAGATCAAACTCGACATGCAGCTGATGAGGAGGCCGAAAAGGTGCGGAAGTTGAAGAAGAAGAACAAGAAGGAGTCCAAAATCGCCTGGACCTATGTTGGATTGTTCGGAGCTTCGGCGGGCCTGATGTTCGGCAGACCAGTCTTCAAGGCGCTGAGCAGAAAGATGACAGCTTGGCAAAATCGGCGCAACTCTGCGATTCAGCCGGTCTCTGCTAGTCTTGCAGAGCATCAATTAGCTGCTCGACCGGTAGGATTTGAGGGCGAAGGCGCTGCTGGCACAGAGGTCAGGGCCAGGGCCGGGGCTGAAAGGCCCACGCCCGCGCCCGCGCCCGCATCGAACCTCGCTCGCCTCCCTCGCGAGCGCATGCATAACGAGGTCCACGGCCCCGTACTTCTGGTCCCTGGTGCTCCCTTTCCATACTGATGACTTTGAGGGCGCCACATCGACACGCTTCCCCTACCTTCTCTCTCGACCCCGCCCGTACCTACGCGTCCTGCACATGGCGAGAGACACAATGCATGCCAGGAGGGGCCCGCCTCACCCGGCTCGTAAACGAATCGCACGTTGGCCCTGCGGCAAGATACCAAAGAAGCTTTCTCGATCCCTCGCTCTTTGGCCAAAAGAAAACCATTGCCGCTTCTCGCTCTTTCCGACTACTCTTTTACTAAATCGCCCACATTCTCTCCACCCTCACAAAAAGAAATGAGAATCTCTTTCAAGCGCGCAAATGCAATCCATTCAGCGATTGTCCGAGTGAGGAGTATGTGCGGTTTTAGCGTTTCAATGAGAGGCAGCAGCGGGTGCAGGTGCAGGTGCAGAATCGGCCGATACGAGCACCGCGAACCCCGCGGCAATCGTAGCGCATCCCAGCAGACTTATCCACTTGAATTCGTGTCCCAGTGCAATGTCCGCAAAGAACACTTGCAGGAGCGGGCGTGCGTGCGGCGCGGGAAAGGAAGAGGAGGGGCCCGGGAAAAGCAAACAAATTGGAGAGGAGGAGGGGGGGGGGAAAGAAGGAAAATGTTTTTTTGGCAAGTCAGCTGGGTCTGTAGAGAAAGCGCGTACCTAGGCGCAAAAAGAAGACGCGCGCACTTACCGAGGACGGTTGTAAGTAAGCAAGAGACGCTAGCAAGCACGGGTCCCCAGAGGGAAAGTAGCAGCACTGCACAAGAGGGGGAGGGAAGCATTACACAATCATGGCAAAAGGGGTCGTCAGTCTGTTGGCGTCTGAAGCGGCGAGAGGGGGGGATGGGGGGCAAAGAAATGTACTGACTAAAACAACCATTGAAAATGATTCCCATGCCCGCCACGCCCGCAATACAAAGCACCGTCGTCCAGTTGCTTGGAAGCTCGAACGTTTCCCAACCCAAGAGGTGCGCGATAGGCTAGGCAGCACAAGCGGACGTAAAAAGGGAGGGACGTGCGCGTCATCAGAGGAAGTTCAGATGGTGATGAGTATTCTTGGATTGCAACGTCTTCCTGAGTCGGGCAGGGGCGCCAAAAGCAGGCAAGGTGCGGTCGACTCACGAGACCTATCCAGAGCGTGAGGAGCGTGACGAGACCGATGCCGGACGTCATGAGGTTAGAGTGGAGTCCGAACGGTAAAGGAGGAGGCATCCAATGCTCCTCTGTGTCTTGCCCACCACCTCCTCTGCTCTTGCCAGCACCGCTGCTGCTCGTCTCTTTGCCTCTCCGTCTCTGCTCCGCACTTCCTTCTCGTTGTGCCCCCACCGTCGTCAGTCTTGATGAATTGCCCGAATCGGCGAGATGGGGCTCGAACACGCTCCGAGCTGATGGTCTGTTCGTCTTTGGCAAGATCCGACTCGCTCTGGCCCCCGCCCCCGCTCCCTCTGCGCGCGAAGAAGCAGCAGCAGCAACAGACCTATAAGAGCCGCCTTTAGCCCTTCCTAAACGAGTAGAGCCTCTGCCTACTTCTTCTTCGTCGTCCGAACTCCTATACGCTTCCGTCTCGCTGGATGATTCCTCTTCTTCTTCTTCTTCCTCCTCCTCCTCCTCCTCTTGCCGCTCGCTCGTCCATTCGTCAGCCTGCCTCTCCTCCTCATTTCGTCCACTCTTTCCCTCCACAGCCCCCCGCTCTCGACCTCGCGCTTGTCGCTCTTCCTCCTCCAGCTCAACCCGCTCGCTCTCCTGCGCATCGTCCTGCAACAATCCCTCTTCCTCCGCCCTCAACGTCCTCGTCTCTGACGTCACATAAGGATTCCCCAGCTGGGCCGCACGATAGCTCGTAGGTCTCCTCACACCTCCACCTCTACCAGCTCTGCGGCCCCCAGCAGCAGCAGCAGCACCCGCATACCTTTCCCTCTGCGCCTTCTCGTCCGGCAATTTGCCTAGCAGCGCAAAGGCCATTTCGTAACCTGCCATGGTCACTGCTCCTACAAAGCTCAAGATCGCACCTAGCAGGGGATTTGAGCCGTTCGGATTGGGCGTCGGCGCCGGCGCGGGGCTTGGCGAGGTGTCTGAAGGGGATCTTTCCACATCGATGTCCAAGCCAGATCGATGAGGCAATAATGATCGACGAAGCAGCATAGGCAGGTGCGAAGATGCCACGTCCGAAGTGGAGGCAGCGTGGCTGAACATCGGATCGGCTTCTCTAGGCCTTCGTCGGTGTTCTGCTCCTCCATAAGCTACCAGCACCACACCTCCCACCGCCAGCAACACAGCCAGCACCTTTCTCTGCATCAAGCAAAGCCGATCGCGGAATGGCGTCACCCGGGTAGCCGGAGTCGAAACATTACAAGCGTCGTTAGAGGAGGTGCAACTTTCGCAGTCGGGCACAGCATATACTCACGCGCTCCCATTTCTCGCCGAGAAAGTAGATGGAAAAGACGAGCGCCCAGACTGCGTAGGTGTTGTAGATCGTCGTCACATCCGCCATGGTGGTGAGGGGAACTGCGGAGTACCTGTGCGTTCACCACCAGCAGCAGCAGCAGCAGCAGCACATTAAGGGAAGCAAGAGCATGCGCTTAGTCTTGCTGAATCATGAGCCCCACCAAATCTAGAGTCGCGGGCGTGCTCTCTCTCCCTCCCTCGCGCCCTCCCTCCAGCTCGCTCTCTCTGTATGTGTGCGCGCAAACTCACCAACTGAGAGCAGGAACGGTGATGCCGATGGTGAGTATGAAGAACAATTTGATGAGAGCCAAAATATCGAATCCAAAAGCTTTCTCCAGCGCACTCTGCAGCTCCGGAGGCCCTCTACCGCTCCTCTGTTTGCCTATTCGCGCCCCCAACTGCTCCGACTCCTCCTCCTCTCCCTCCCCCTCCTCCTCCTCTCCCTCCCCTCCCTCATTCCTCTCCGCTCTCCTCTCGTCCATGCTCGAGCTCGCTGTCCTGCTCGAGCCGAAGCTGGTTCGATGCGTAGGTGGATCCAACTGCGACTCGTCGGCGCGTGCAGCGTCGAGAGTGTTGCTGGTGCTTGCGAGCAACAGTTGAGATCTGGATCTGCTCCAAGTGGAGCTGAGCCTGCTCCTGACCCTTCTAGCCACCCTGGTCAAATGTTCCGGCGCCTCTTCTTCCCTTTGCGAACTGCTGAGTTGCCAATTCAGATTAGCAGCTATGATCTCGTAGTGTTTGCCCAACGTCGTTCCGGGATACCGGATGCGCAGATAGAGCAGATGAATGGGTAGCAGGAGCAAAAAGGAGCTGTGACCGATAAAGAGGCACAGGAATGGTTTTCGATAGGATAGACCTGATTGGACGTACTGCGCCAGTTCCGTCTGGATCGTAAAGGCGATCAGAGAGATGCCAAAGGCGCTTAGTGCTTTGCCGCCTCCTGGCAATGAGATGAAGCGTTTCTTCTTCCTTTTGGTCGGACGAGAGGGGGTGGGTGTGCTGAGCTGTGAGCCGCTGGATGTGGCGCGTTGGCGTGATGAAGGGGGAGGGGCGCTGGAGGTTGAAGCGGGAACGAAGGCGGGGGCGGCGGCGGCTGCTGCCGCTGCTGCCGCTGCTGCCGCTGCTGCCGGAACACTTGACTGGCTAGCATGTTCCCCCTCTCCGTTTGCCCCGCCCTGTTTGTACGTGCCTGTTGGCGCCATGCTCGATACGTGCGCGGCAGAGGAGGGCCTGTGTGTATAGAGTGCTTTGTTCTCCTCAGCGATGTGATGCGTATGTTTTCGCCCCCCCCACCCCCCTCGAGCTTAGACGCTGCAGGTGGGAATGTCAAGTCCAAGTCCTTGCCCCCGCGCCCATCAACGAGAATGAGGAAAGCTTTGTACGTGCGATGCTACGCCCAACTCTGCAGCACCTTTTCGGGCCAAGCGCTGAGAATGTCAAGAGGAGGGGGGAGAGGAGGAGAGGGGTGCAAAGATGATCAAAGCCAAAGAGCGTTGAGCTGTGAGCTGTCGAGTCGTGGGTCGTGGGGTCGTGGGGTCGTGTGCGAGCGAGTGCTGCAGCATGTGCTGGCAATTAAGATGAGCAGCACAGCTCCTTCGAGCGCCTGCGGGGGTGGTGGTCGCAGCACAGCCAACCATCCGAGAATTGAATCGAACATCAGTCACGTGAGCGCTGTGACTGCGTATATGTGGTGTGCCTTGGCCGGCCGGGGCGGAGGCGGCGGCGGCGGCGGCGGCGGGCGCGTTCCTGAACTCAATTAACGGCCGCGCATGAGTCTGGATTTGAATTAAGCCTGCACGCTGCTGCTATGAACGTTTATTTTATTATTCTCACGACCTCATCGCGCGCGCCCCAATTTTGAATGCCAATCCAGTCAAAGAGTCCGAGAATCGAGTCGATCCGAGTCGACTCGACTCTACCAACTTACCGCATCAAGCAGCAGCAGCAGCAAATTCAAGGGCAAACGGGGGAGAGAGAGAGAGAAGATAAGCGAATCAGAGGGGGAAAAAAGTCACGAGTCCGAGTGTGGCTGGCGCCTACGAATGGGCTTTCGAACATCCCCTCCCTCCCAACACAAACGCGCGACTTCTTTTCCCCTCTTGAAAGCGTCCAACTTCACAATCGAAAGCAGCCAAAGGGGAGGCCCCTTTTGAGCCATCTGTCTCACTGCACGGGGGATTCAAAGAGGAGCGAAGCAAGAGCATCTTGCTCGAATTTCCTGCTCGCTTTGTCTTTGTCATCCAGGTTGCAACACAGCTGAAAGGAGGGAGGACACGCTACAGAGCGAAGGAAAAGTCATGACAGGTCGACCAGCTCCCGAGGTGAGTTGATGGGGCGTGTGCAAGGTCATGCATAACCAGCACCACGCTACTGCAGCACAGCAAGGGGGGGCTGCCCAAACGCTGCAGTGATCCGCTTCGGTCCACGTTGCCGCCGCTAGTATGGATTCTGATGGGGCACACGCGTCCCCCCCCTTTCCACTTTGACGGCAACAAAAACAGGTGATTCAGGAATGGGCAGATGGCGATTCAGGCTGGACTTTTGAACGCGGTAGGATGGAGAGGAATGTGAGGGATATATGTTTCGATAGACCTGCTGTCTATGCGCCTCCTGCCACCACCACCACCGCCGCCGCCGCCGCCGCCGGTAGCAACAGCACAAATGCGATCAAGTTGAAAAAGGATGATGTGGATTTCATCGTGAGTTGATGCGTATGTGCGCCGGTGAGAGGGAGGGGGGGAGATGGGGAGAGGGGGGGGGGAGGTATATGCAGAGGAAGGGGGAATGAATGGTGGTGGTGGTCTGCCACTGCGAGCCAACCAGCAAGCCAACGACGAGGGCTTGCCGAGCTCGAGCTCAGCGTTCAGCGTTCATTAGATGCGCCAATAGTTGGTCAAATCAACAGCCCTGCATGCGGGCTTCTCGAACGCATCCGCATCCGCATCCGCATCCAGCCCAGTCCAGTCAAAATGCAGATATGCGAAAAGAGGAAAAGAAAAGGGCTCAAGCATGGGAAAGCGGGAAGCAAGTCGGGTCCGGTCCCATGCTGACTCGACCCTGCCTCCCTTCCTTAATCCCCCCGCCCCCCACAATCTTGTCGCATTCAGGTCAACGAGCTTTGGATTTCTAGAGCAGCAGCTGAGAAAGCTTTGCGTGCTAGTGTGGGGGATGTGACGTTGGCTATCAAATCCATCGTCCTGCCTCGGGAGGATTTGTGAGGGTGAGGGATCAGCGCTGGACGGGAGGAGTGGAGGGGTGATGTGAAGGAAGGTGTGATAGCGAGAGGGAGCGAGAGGGAGCGAGAGGGAGCGAGAGGGAGCGAGAGGGAGGTTGAGAGAGGGAGAGCAGAGGGCGTACGAGCCTGGAGTTGTAGGATTCTGCATGAAATGTAAACGCGCAAAAGGTAGCAATTCGAACTTCGAGACTTGGAATGATGTGAGATAAAGCAAAGAGGGGGGAGGAGAGGGGGAGATGAGTGGGGGGGGAGGGAGGGAGGATTAGAATGCGGCATCCTCATCCAACCCGTCCCGGTTTCCTGCCTTCTGGCAGGCCTTGTTTCTCATATTCACGCATCGCATAAGAAGCAGCAGCAGCAGCAGCCCTGCTGAGACTGAACGATTTCACAAAGCACCCGCCCCATTCCCCCGACCCCCAAAAGTTCGTTTGGAGGGGGGTGGGGGGTCACGTGTGCGATCGTTGGCTTGCATGGGCCATTCGACAACAATCGTGAATGTGGAATGTGTCAAGAGGATTGGACGCGACACGCTCCGCACGAAGTGGGAAGTGGGAAGCTGGGAGATGCGGTGAGCGCGCGCGGTATCGCAAGCAATTAGTCACGCAAGCGGAGTAGCTAGGCGAAGCGCGCGAAGCGCGGGCAGGGCAGGGCAGATGGCGTGTGCAGTCTGAGTTTGAGTGTAATACGTGCAACGCTTGGAATTTGGACATTCACTTTTTCCGGCCAGTAGAGGTTACGACACGCACTCACTCACGAGTCACGATTCATCAACGATTCTGATTGAAAAGCTTGTGCTCAGCAGCATTTTGGTTCAGATTGATTCATTCAGCTTCGCGTAGTCATTCAACTTTCGAGATTGAAGTCAGGCGGGCGCGGGCAATGTGAATCTTGAATGAAGCCTCGGTTCAGCTTGATTCCCTAGCTGTGATATTCATGCGAATCAAGCTGTGTATTGCGCTGCTGTGCAGCTCAGGCCAGCGCAGCCAGGCAGCAATTTGAATTGAAGCAGCTAGCTATATATAGATAGCCCGCCCACCTCCACCATCTTGCATATGCAAGCATATATATGCAGATGGGTACACTTTTGACTACTGTATACTGTAGGTATAGGTACATGTGCTGTAATCGATTGTGTACCGCGGTGCGCAATCAGCAGCGGTCCGACGGTCGGTTCGGCTGGATGCTGTGTCATTCATCGTACGATGTTTGCTTCCTTGTATTCGATATACACGTTCACATTCAAGATTCACGATTTGCTCAACACTGCCTGCATACAGCAGTAGCTCCTAATCACGAATCGCGCCCGCGCGCCCGATCACGAAAATCACAAAGAATCATGAATTTGAACATTCCCCTCCGTCCATCAAATCGTCTTTGCTTTGTGATCGGGGAGGGGGAAATGGGATCGATGTTATTCACGATTCACGATTGTTTGTGTCGTGTGCCAGCGCTCGAGTAAAGCTGTAGGGCTGTAGGGCGCAGTCAGAGCGTGCCTTTTGAGCCACAATTGCTTAGCGGTGAAGTCAGAGTCACGAGTGCAGGTGCACGTTAGCCAAACTTCAAGGGCGCGCGCGCCTTGGGTGATCCTTCGCCTCCTCCTCCTCCTCCTCCTCCTCCTCCTCCTCCTCCTCCCGCACGCAAGCCAAGCATCCACCCCGCTCACAACAAGGAAGTGTCTGCCGCCTGAAAAGAATCGTACCGCTCGCACTCGCAACCCCGACCCGGTGATGAGCGATCAGATGGTCTCCAACACCAACACTGCGCAAGCTCATCCTTCGACATCCACATCCACAGCAGCGGAGAGCATGTCCAGCACCACCACCCGACTCTCCTCCCCTCACGCCACGCTACGAACCTTTTCGGCGCCTTTTAGCAGGTTCGGCATCATTCCTGTGGGGGGTAGGAGCACGGCTGCTAGGTTGAGCGATGGAGGCGTTTGGGTATTGGCTAGTACGCCTTTGGACGATGTTACGAAGCGAGGAATAGAGGAGCTTGGGAATGAGGTCAAGTGAGTATTTTTTGTGCGCCAAGTGGGGGGGGGGGGGGCTTGGAGGGGGAACATGTATGCGGCTCCCCCCATCTCTCTTCAATGCTGACGCCCTCGTAATATACCGCTCCGGGGGGGGGGGGGTGGGGGGGGGGCTTGGAGGGGGAACATGTATGCGGCTCCCCCCATCTCTCTTCAATGCTGACGCCCTCGTAATATACCGCTCCCGCTCCCCCTTCCCGCCTCACTTGCTTGCTTGCCTCGCCTTGCTCGGGTGCTTGTTTGGGTGGGAAAAAGATATATCATCGCGCCTGATGTGGTGCATCATCTGTACATCAAGGATTTCGCAATGGCTTATCCAGGAGCCAAAGTGATCGGAGTGGATGGATTGGAGAAGAAGAGGACGGATGTGAAGTGGGATGGATGTGAGTGGTGTGTTTGCGCGAGCTGTGAGCTGCGAGCTGCGGGAATGGGGGATGGGGATGGAGGTGTGGGCATGCATGCTGCCTCTTTTGGGACTCCCGGAAGCGTCGGGCGATGCTGATGCCGCACAAGCGCAGCTAGCCAAGTCAATCACGAGCCGCGGGATGCGTGTCCCAGTCATGTCTTGACGTCCACACCGCCCCCTTTCCAACCCCCCCATTCGCAGTGTACGGCAAGGATGCACCAGACACAAGGTACGGTTTCGAGGATGACATCTCTGCCAGGTATTTCAGCACTTTTGCCAACAAGGATGTAGCCTTTTGTCATCACGAGTCCAAGGTGAGGCCTCGGGATCGCTTGGTGATGTGCAGAAGCGTCGGGCAGCATGTGCTTTGGGCGTGTTTCTTTCTGCCAATGCTGCTGTACCTACACGTGCGATGGACCTTTGTACAAAAGAGGGGAGAAAAAGGCGCGCAGAAAGGAGCTGAGCTGAATACTTGCGCACCTTCCTCGCCCCCCCCCCCCCCCCCCCCCCCTTCTTCTGCTCTGCTCTGCTTTGCCCCTGCTCGTCAGTCTCTCATCACTGCGGATCTCATCTTCAATCTCCCGTGCAACGAGCAGTACTCCAACACCTCATCAGGTCGCCCAACCTCTTTGATCCCATTCCTCTCCTTCTTTTCAAAATACATGGTCCCTTCTTCCTCCTTTCACCAATCCTTCTTGTGGTCAGCAGGAGCAGCGTCAGGCCAAGGCTCCACGTCGGATAGGAGGAGACAATTCGCAAAGGACGCTCAAGCTGTGAGCACGTGGGAGTTTGAGAGGATCATCATGTGCCATGGAGATGTGCTGGAGGGAAGGGAAAAGGCAAAGAAAGCTTGGAGAGAAGCTTGTGCAAAGGTGAGTTTCTCATTCTCTCTCTCTCTCTCTCTCTCTCTCTCTCTCTCTCTCTCTCTCTCTCTCTCT